GTTATGTTTGCACTTGGGAGAAAATGATCGCCATTTTCATATGGTCGAACAAATGAGTGACTTTACTCCCTGTCGTCAGCTATCTAAAAGCGCCATTTTTGTGCATGTGGGATAAAAAATTATTTTAAAGTTAGTATTTCGTTGTGAATTAATTTTTTTGTAAGGTATAGTTCTCAAATGTTGTGGTAAAGTGAATATTTTTAAGTAAACTTTTTTTTGTTGTGAAGTGAATTGTTTAAAGTTATTTTCGTGTGATAACCCTATTGAAAATCCCCATATGGGAAACCATCTAAAACCCTACTTCCATGAAGGAAACCACGTGGTTTACCATGTGGTTTCCCATGTCAAACCATATGAGAAATTGAGACAGGATTTTAGTTAGGAATAGACATGGGGAATTTGAACAGTTCATCTATGCATAAAACCATATCAAATCCCACATCACTGAGAGAAATGGATAGTTGGAATTTGATGGTTAAAAAAAAGATTGTTCGTGGTACCATCATTATGTTACTGGGTACAATCTACTATCCACTTTTTACAATCTAAGATGTTACCCGAGATCATATAAATATACTAACTTTCTGATTGTAGTCACTACTATCAAATATTGTCAAAGTTTAACTATGACAACACGTTTCAATGCAATTGAAAAAATTCGTGAGTGTTTTCGGATTCATCTAAAATGGACAATTTTGTAAAAAATATTGCAGTGTTGTGGAATGTGGAACCTTTGATTCCAACTATTGTCAGTTAGTTAATTATTTTTATTATAGTTAATCAAAGACTATAAAATTTATACATGTTTATAACCTCAAAATTTCAAACGATTGGATTTTCTTTTAAAATGACAGGTCAATGCTTGCACAAGTTATTCTCATTTTACAATAAATTTTTTTAAGTGTTGTAAAGTCTTTGAAATTTGTAGGTTAAATGAGATTTCCGATATTATCGCCCAATAGAACGGCACTGAAAAAAGACCTGAAATAGGTAAACAAACATTTTCTAACAAAGTTTTCTCTGAACACAGACACTTTTTACAAAATCTGCTTGCATGCACTGAATAACCGTCTTCTAAAATATAATAACCGAAAAGATTGTTCAAATCCATGCGTAAACGGTATTATAAAATGAAAAATTGGAAAGCAATGTAATTCAAAGTATATGACAGCTCGGACATTGTGCTCGCTCTGCATACTTCTGCCCTCTTCTGGCGATTGGCAATAATCTCTGATGGTATAACCCCAACCAACCATTTTTAACATCAAAGATTGTTACCTGTACAATCAAATTTCAATAATCTTTTGATAGTAAATACTACAATCTAGATAGCTGTCTGTATACGTAGCATTAAAGATGGTCACCCTAACCATCATTATGTTACCCACTACTATAAATTTCTCTCCGTGATGTTTTTCCCAGTCAAATCCTAAACCGAATCCCATGTGAAAAACAGTATCATTTATTTATAATTATTTTCCCAAGTCAATCCCCAAGTGAAAAACAGTATCATTTATTTATAATTATTTTCCCATGTCAAATCCTAAACCAAATCCCATGTGGAAAACATTATCCGCCTTATTGAATATCCCTACATGGGAATCGACTTGGAATTTTACAAGGGATTTCACATAGGATTTTATATGGGAATTGACATAGGATTTCATGCAAGATTTCACCTAGGATTTAATATGAGATATCACATACTATTTTATTAAAGATCCAATGAATAAATTTTCAAAGGATAAAAAAAATTTCACCGCTATGTGGCGAAAGTGATTTTTCTCACTGTTGAGACGATTCTGGAAGTATATAAGCGTTCCCCGACGAAGTCTTTTTTTCCGAACAATATCATTTTTCCACGAAGTTGAAGTCCACAACGTTGATCAACGAAAAAAATTGTTTAATCTATTCCAATATTATTTTTAATTCAATATTTGAATGTATTATATAACAATTATTAACAGATCATAAACATCAGTCTATTTTTTCTAAATATTTTTGTGGCAATATTGCTGCGTTTTCTTTATCAATTTACAAAGTGCACAATTTTTTTCGTTGATCAACGTTGTGGACTTCAACGTCGTATTTTTCCTAATATATATTATTTATGACGATGCGATAAGCGATCCGCAATTTTTTATTATTGTTTTTTCAATAGCAACAAATATAAATGTCAAAAGTTCCAAAATTTTGATTGTAAATTAATATTTCGAGTCTAAATTAAAAATGTAATTTATAAATAAAATACAGAAATTTATATTTTAAATAAAAACAATGGAGATTGGACCTCGAATTGTGGACAAACAATTGTTTGTGGATGGTTCATGTATTTCCACTTCATTTTTAAAATAAAATTTTTAGGAAATTAGGAAAATTTAATAACATTAGGAATTTTCGCTTAGTAAAATTGTTTTAGGAATTTCAAATTTAGGAAATTCGTTTTTAGGAAACGTTGAAATTAGGAATCTAGGATTAGGAAAATCGGTAGGGAATCATAAGCGTTCCCCGACGAATTTCCCGACAAATATAAGAGCTGAGAACCTGTAGTACAGAAGACGTAGTGTTTCAAATTATCGATTTTTTTTACTTTTTTGATGACTTGTAACACTAATACTATTTATTATTTAATTTTTTATTAAATAATTTTTAATTCTTTATTAATTTCTTTGTTGGATCTTTAGTAAAATACTATGTGATATCTCATATTAAATCCTAGGTGAAATCTTGCATGAAATCCTAGGTCAATTCCTGCAGGGTAATGCTTCGGTTAAATCCCTCACCGGTTCCGATAGTCAAGCGCCTAGCATGGGGGCAATGGCCGGTGTATTCAGGAGGGCAACGCCGCACTGAAGGTTCCACAGAAGACAAGAAGAGGAAGTGGAAGTAGTCTACAGAGTGTGTTGAGTGGCAGTAGCGGATGGTCCGCATTCAGCCTTGTACACTCGGAAGTGGATGACGAGACGATTAGAATTGTGAGGACAGCCTTCGATTGAGGAAGAAAGAAGCATTGTGTCTTGAAAAGATACAACTGAAAGTCGCAAAGAAGACTAACTCTTGTGACAACAAGAAAAATGTAAACAGGACCGTTAAGGACGGACTTAAAGACCTTCAAGTCCTGCTGGCAGAAACAAAGGCAAAGCACGCGGAGGCTGACGAAGCGAATATGTACCTAGGATGTACTATCGGCATGGCAGAAGGTAACTGTGAGGACAGAAAGGAGAGTCGAGAGCACCACTATTAACGTCAGTTAAGGCGCGGTGTCACAGACGCGCCGAAGAGAAGACGTAGTCTCGGCAGTCCAGAGGGGACTCAAGCCGCAACTAGCAAAAAGAAAAAGGAGGAAGCACCACCATCAAAGAAGGTGGACAAAAGTGCGGAACACTCTGCACTGAAGCCAGAATATCAAAAACTGGAGCAAAGGCAGTGAGGGGATCAACAATGGTCACCCGAATGGCTCGAAAGGTCAAGTGCACCGAGCAAAGGTGCACAATAATTTGAATCCAGATTTTTCGCGGAACTGTGCCGAATACTAGGTTGCAACCGTTTGACAATATAGTCTCTCAACCGTATTATTAAGGCCTTTCTCCAATAGGTTCCCAAAACTCTGCGTTTGTCTGCGAATGACTGCGTTGCGTTGATTTTAACATGTCATTTTTGCAAACTGTCATTTTTGCGAATCGCCATTTTTACAAATTGTCATTTTTGAGAATTGTCATTTTTGCGAATAGTCATTTTTGCGAATTGTCATTTTTGCGAATCGCCATTTTTACGAATTGTCATTTTTGCGAATTGTCACTTTTGCGAATCGCCATTTTTACGAATCAACATTTTTACGAATTGTCATTTTTACGAATTGTCAATTTTCCGAAAAGTCATTTTTGCGAATTGTCATTTTTGCGAAAGGTCATTTTTGAGAAATGTCATTTTTGCGAATTGTCACTTTTGCGAATCGACATATTTACGAGTTGTCACTTTTGCGAAAAATCGTTTTTGCGAAAATTCCTATAGTGAATCTCTATATGCATACAAGTTTACTATAGTAATTTTCGCAAAAATGACTTTTCGCAAAATTGAGTTTTCGCAAAATTGACAATCCCAGTAAAAATGTACTTAGTAAAATTCATTTTCGACCCTTTTTTCACAGCCACGCAATTGACTCAACGGCGAATTAGAGAAATCGAAGATTGAAAATTTTGCTTTGCACGGTCCGACTTTTTTTGTAATATCTCGGCAACCTGTTAATATTTTTTGCTGTTCTTGGTCTCTATTTAAAGCTTAGGTTACAAGGAATAGTCTGTGAAAGTAACAATCAACAATCGCTTCCTATTTATGCAATATAAATGTAAATAGTATAATTTCATTGGAAATTTAATAAGCTTTCCAATGCAATTTAGAAAAACCATCTAGCTTCATTTTTGTCGGAGTTATCACTGTTTTTATGGGGGTGTGTTTTTTAATAGATCGAGGTGACAGCAATCGCACAATTTCCGCCGGTAGTGTAATATTTTGTTTTTCTTAATGTTTATCTATAGATTTGCAATATTTTTTATTGCAGCATTCAAAAGATGAGCGATTCCTGAGCTTTAAGAAATGTATATTGTACAATTTCTATCATTCCAATTTCATACTAAAAATTTCTGCCTAAACTTATCAAAATTTTTTGTACATTTAGTTCTTAAAGGGTTAGAATATTGTTATACAAAGAAATTTTATTTGATTGAATCAACAATTTCAATGTTTAGAGCAAATGCCTATTATTTAATTGATTTTTATAAAATTATTAGATTCAACTAAATGTTTATTTGCTGTAATGAACAAGTAATCTGTTGTTTCAATCTAATAAAATGTACGAAATAAAAGTTATGAATAGACAATGCAAGTAAAATTTCTTCTGTGATTTTCTTAATTTTTTTTTATTTTTTCTAGAAAAGAACCTAACAAAATAATTTTATATATTATTTATAAAAATTTAGTAATTGTTTTAAAGTTCGACTTACATCGCTTCCTCTCAAGATTGAAATTTTCCCAACTAGCACTAGCAAAATAAAATTGAACGCCACCAAAAATTTACTGCGGTAATTCATGATTGATTGGTGTGTAAATATTTGCTTCGAAACATGTACTGATGTAATTTTGAAATGAAAAAACGTTATATTAGAATGGAAAATGATAAAGATTGAATAATATTTTAACAACTTTATTTTTAATACAAAATCAAAATCTCGTGCACGAAAAATATGAATATTAAATCGCTGCTAAGTTTAACTTAACAGATAACATGAATATTATTATTTTTTGTTTCATGTAAGTTACATTACTTTTTTCTTCAGTCGATTACGTAAATAAACTTTTTTTCGATAAAGAATTAATATTAATCATTCAAAAATTTAAAAAAAAATTTCTTTTTCACAGTTTTTCTAAGGATATCAAATTGAGACAAAAAACGAATCAAAATGTTGCTTCGCAACACTTTTGATTCGTTTTTTGTCTCAATTTGATATCCTTAGAAAAACTGTGTTAGGGTTCCGTACATCTTCGGTGTATCGGCGGAACCCTATTGGTGAGACTCTTAAGAGTCGCACGATTTGACACGATTTGGGGGGACACGATTTGGCTACGGACACAATTGTGTCCGTAGCCAAATCGTGTCCCCCCCCTAGCGGCTAAACTATTTGACCTAAAGAGCTCAAATTTGGTCCAGATATGTATTTAGGAAACATTTTTTAAAAAAATCAAAAAAAAAATTTTTCTTAATTTTTTTTTGTTTAAATACGTAGCATTAAATATTTTAAGGAAGAGTGAAATTTTAAGAGAATAAATGAGAGATTCTTTTCTGACTTTAATTTCTTAACTAAAAATAAAAAAAAATTGGACAAGTGCGAGTTCCCAGTAAGAAACGAAAAATTGAAAAGTATTAAAAAGATTCTATTCTTTTGAATGCCATTTCAGTCCAATACTTTTCTATCTAGTGAGAGCAATATAAATAGTAACGATATCAATCCTCTTGAATACCCAGTAAGAAAGCAAAGATTAAGAAGCATTAAAAAAATTCTATCCTTTTGAATACCATTTCTGCCCTATGCTTCTGAATTCCGCGACAGTAGTATAATAATATAATACTAATGTTATTGACATATAGAATGTTCAATTGCTTTCAAATAACTGCACTCATGAATTTATTTGCTATTTTAAAAAGGAATAATTATTAAATTATCAGTTGAGAGGGTTAAAAGTGTTTAAAGGTCTCTGAAATTTTTAGGTTATGATTTATTGTCTAACAGAATAACGGCCCTGACTCGTTTAAATGACGTTAAATTGGTAAACAATCAATTTTTCAGCAAGTTTTTCTTTGAACACAAACACTTTTTACAAAATCTGCCACTGTATGTATCTTATAAATTACAAAAATCCAGAAGATTGCTTGAATGCATGCAGAAACGCGATTCCAATGAAAAATTGAAAAGTGATATAATGACAGGCTGTAATAATTTCAGATGGGATTGGAAATTATTCAGAAAAAAATTTTGTCTTTGTTAAAAATTACAAAAAGAATTGAATAGCATTCATTTTTAGACGAAACGTGGTTCTATCATGGTATAGAGAAAAGTATTGGACAGAAATGGCATTCAAAAGTATTGGATAATTTCTACTACACCATACAGAGTTTGAATTATTTCAATCCTTTTCAATTTTTCGTTTCTTACTGGGTTGTACTCGCACTGCAATATATATATTATCTCTTGACTGCAATTTTCGCTTTAACTATCGGCTATAGTTTGAAAGGCATAAATAATGACATTACTCTCCACAGAAGTCTCTTCACAAGAATAATATTTGATGCTAAAGTTAGTGCATTTTGTAAGATATAGATAATAAAGGGAAAATAAAATTTAATCAATCAATACTTAGTTTTCAATCTAGAATTTCAAAATTCCTCCGCCGCTGGTTGTCCACTGCCGAACATCATCGATGTCTTCGATGTGCTGGGAGAAGTGGATGCATATCCACTGCCAGACATGATTGACATCATGGATATGTTCGGTAGACCTTGTCGTGGTGGCGGGGCTTTCAACTAAAGGGCAACCAAACAGCAAGAAAAAATGAATTCAAAAAATTCTGAGAAGGTACCCCATGTGAGCAGGCCGGAAACGGGAAATCTCACCATCGGTCCCAGAACCGATGCTCAAGTGCGCGCGGATTGTGGGGGCGCACAATTTCTTGCAGTGCCACGAGTGATCGTGGAAAGGGTAGATCCACAGAACATCGTGGAAAATAAAAAAACGAGGAAAGGAAGCACGTCGAGCCTTCTGAGTGTGTCAAGCTGCAGTAGCGGAAAAACTGTTCATAGCGCTATCCACTCAGAAGTAGACGACGAGGCGATAGAAGAGACTCGCGAGATATGCTTGCGGCTCAGAAAGGAGGAGGCGACTTGTCTCGAAAAAATGGAGTTCGAGGTCGCAAAGATGATAAAATCTTGCGACATTCAGAAGACCGTCAATAGGACGGTAAAGGATGGACTCAAGGTTATCGACGTCCTGCTAAAGGAGGCAAGGGCAAAGCATGCCGCGGCCGATGAGTCGGACGTCGATTTGGCATGCGTTCTGAGCGGTGCGGAATGCAACCGCAAGGACCGTAAGAAAGAGAGAGAGCGTTTCTATAGGCGTAATTTCAAAAGCGTCTTAAGAGATGCTCAGAAACGGAAGAGAGAGGGTGACAGTCCAGAAGAGACTCGAACCAAAACCGATAAGAGGAAGAAGGAGGAAGCTCCTCCAATGGAAACGGAAGTACCAGATCCAAAGATTCCTCAATTGGAAAGAATTGGGTCAAAAAGATCCACAGTTCTAATCCGAGTCGGTGAAGGATTGACGTATGCTGACGTTCTGGGTAAGCTTCGCAAAGAGGTCAACCCAGAGGACAGCCATACGAGAATAGTAGCAGCAAAAGCTACAAACAAGGGGGACCTTCTGATTAAGTTCAGAGGAGACTCCGATAAGGACGCTTTCACCGCTGAGGTCACCAAGGCGGTTGGAAGCATGGGTAAGGTGCAGTCATTGGATCGAAGAGTTACACTCGAGATCCGTGATTTGGATTGCCTTACCCAAGAAGCTGAGGTGCAACAAGTGTTGTTTGAAGCAATGGGTAAGCCAGTAAACAGGAGAGTGACGGTCTTAGGACCCAACCGCCGAGGGATGAAGCTCGCGGTTGTAGTCACCAACCTGGAAGAGGCGAACAGGTTGGAGAAATTGGGACACGTAAAAATTGGTTTTATGTGTTGCCCAATTAAAAAAAGAGTAATGGTCGTCCGGTGTCATCGATGCTTGGGATACGGTCATATTGGAGCGAAGTGCCAAAAGGTGGACAGATCGGCTGCGTGCTTTAAGTGCGGTGAAGCCGGTCACAGATTCTCCAACTGTAAGAAGAGCCCAAGTTGCTTTTTATGCAAGGAAAAGTTTGGCAATAAGGTGTCAACCACCCATATTGCAGGCAGCGGAGGATGCGGAGTCTTCAGGACGGCCCTTGAGGAGGCGAAGAAGACTCTCGCAAGAACTAAAAGCAAATAAAAAGTATTAAAAGGAGCAAGTCGAGAACTTCGTAACCTCGGTTATGTCGAGGAAGAATCTCGACGGCAGCCAACAGGCGTGATTTAAACAGCTTTTGGTTAGTTTGTTTTTTGTTAATTTATTTTGTGATTTATTTGTTCTTATACATTTTTTAATTTGTTTTGTGTTTTTTATTCGTCTTTATACAGTTTTATCTTTTCAACATTATATACGTGTTTACTTTTTTTCTTTTCTTTTTTATATCCGTTTACAATTTTATCTTTGACTTTTTACACTTCTTTAAAAATTTGTTTTTTATTATTGTTGTGCTGTGAATTCCGCTTGGATTTTGTAATAGTTTTAATTATTTTTTTAACTACGGACGCAGGAGGACCGCAGAGGAAGGGAGAAGGTCGCATTAGCGACAGAGTTGGAGCGCCACCCTCGAAGGCTAAAGTCTTACGACAGTTCCGAGGGAGGGAAAAGGGCTCCAGAAGAAGGGTTACGGGTTTTAGTGGGTCGGGCTGGTAGTAGGTCGCCAGTTTATTAAATTTATTATAACATTTATTTATTTATCTTTTTTTAATATTTCCTTCTGTTTCATTTTACCAACCCCACATAACCTTGGAGTGCGGAATCCAAGGTATCTGTAGGCAGATTTTCCAAAAGTCCCTAAGCAAAAAAAAAAAAAAAAAAAGAATTTCAAAATTCGAATTTGCTATAAAACTCCTAAGATTTGGAATCAAAAGATTTATTTTCATTTTTACGTGATTTTAATAATTGAAAATGAAATAAATTGTGAAATAAATATATATATATATATAATTTATTATAAAAATAAAAGTGAAATAAAAATATGACTCTTTTATTATTATTTTATAATTTTAAAACCATTCATGGTTTTATAGAAAAATTTACTTATAATTATATTTAAACGACATTAAAAAGAAGAATTATTGTAAAGTTAAAAGTTTTTGGATTTAAAAGTTTATGAAATAAAAATGGAAAGCTTTAGAAACATCGAGGTAGTTGAATCCTTACGACTTCAAGCAATGTCTTATTTCGGAATTTGGAGACCAACATTTTTAAAATCCTTGTGGGCTATTCGAATTTATACTATTTATAGTGCTATATAGTAATTTTAAATACAGGCTATTTTGGTGTTACATTTTTTATTATTTTATACCAAAATAGAGACAAGCCAATTATATTTCCAGAAAATATTTTCACTTTTACAACTATATGTATTATATCTTTTAAATTAGCTTACCTTAATATTCACCGACATGACGTCAATACACTAATAAACTTGTTTTGTCAAAAGCACTGCCTTCCTTATAATAATGAACAAATTATAATTCATAAAAAATGTTGTACTAAAGAAAGGTAAGTACATATAAAAGGTAGGTTTTTATATTAAGAACATTATAATTTTAATTTCTCGATGCTTAAATTTTGATTAACTTTATTTGTAAACCTTACGTAAGAGGATGAGGAGTTAGTAAAATCTTGCCTGACCATTTAATGGAGTGGAGGGGTTAAAATATTTAACTCTTAAACTTGAACTTTGAAGCATT